CAGCGGTCCTTGTTTTTCACACGTCTGACATCAAATTAAATTTATTCACCAACTTTATATACTATTATTATTATCATTATTTATTTATTTATTATTATTGTTATTAATAACCGGTCGATGTCAAGATGCGGAGAGAAACATCTTGTACGGGAAGTTGATCATGGGGGTTTTCCTTTGGATTTATGTAACTCATATAGATTACATAAGGGCATCTTCGAGGACCGCCACTACGTATTTAAGACAAAATAGGATTCCAAATCCGAATGTTTCATTCCATACAAAAACAAAATTTATTTATTTGTCATAACCATGAATAGGAAACGAAATGCAAAGCGGAGGTAAAATGGCAATTGATTGCGTGAGCCATGACATGATGAAGAGGTTGTCCCCACCATGGCAACGTGCTTTCCCACGTGCTCCCAATCCCATCCTCTGTCTAAACACGGTCTCGAGGCTCGTAATCGCCGGCAAAAAAAAAGGACGTATATTCGTCGTCTTTTCCTTAATTCTTTTTAATTTCCAAATCTTTTACGTAAACATGTCTGCAAATTAGATGCAATATAGTTTTCACGACAAATAAAAAAATCTCGTGACCAGACCGGATCCATGGAATCCAATGGATAAAACTGTTCTTGTTAAAATTTTTTAAAAAAAATTGAATCGGTAAAATAGTGAAAACAAATTTTTAAACTTTTTACTAGACATATTTATTTTGTTATTATAATCTCCAAATTTTGTAAAATATATCATTATAATTTTCAAATTTGTTAATTATTTATTAGAAAAACCTCAATAATATTGATTTTAAACCCAGTTTAGGAATTATACTTTAACAACAAAAATCTAGGAATGATAGTGATATATTTTATAAGTTTAGAAATTATAATAACATATTTTGTAAGTTTGAGAAAAAAATTATTAGTCAAAAAATGTAAAAACTTGTTTTTTATGAATTTATAAATTTTTATGGGTTTTATTTTTTTTACGGGGGATTCGGGGAATAAATGTAAAGACAACGATTTTAATATTATTTGAATGATGTAGTAGAGAAATATTTTTATATACAATTCCGTAAACGAGTTGTCATATAAATGTCTGGGTATCGGGCTCCCACAAAAAAAAAAAAAAAAAAAAAAAAAACAATAGCAACGATACTTTAAACCATATATTTTTAAAATATATTTTTCGTTTATAATTAAATGTTTGGCTATAAGTAGTTGGGAAAGCCAACTCAACTTGTATTATGATACTCGTTCTTCATTCACACTTTCCTCCTCAGACGAAAGACATCGCCGGAAATTTGAGAAGACCAAAGATGGCGGCGGAGGAAGGGAGAGCTCCGTTGCTGTCTCCGGCGGAGGAAGGCGGAGGAGCGACGGGGAAGGTGTGGGAGGAGACGAAGAAGCTGTGGCAGGTGGTGGGTCCCGCTATATTCAGCAGAGTATCGTTGTATTCGATGCTTGTCATCACTCAGGCCTTCGCCGGCCACCTCGGCGATCTCGAGCTCGCCGCCATTTCCATCGTCCAAAACGTCATCGTAGGGTTCATCTTCGGCCTTCTGGTACGTCCGTACGTGTGTATACATATGTATGTGTAGGTGTGGTTATCTGCACTCGCTTCATTCATTTTTCTGTCTTGAATCGCTTTTCGATTAGTAGTATCTCGCTGTGTTTTGAGTGATTTTACAGACAAGTTATATGTTCTTCTTCTTCTTCTTCTTCTTCTTCTTCTTCTTCTTCTTCTTCTTCTTCTTCTTCTTCTTCTTCTTCTTCTTCTTCTTCTTCTTCATCATCATCATCATCATCATCATCATCATCATTTTAAAGGGATGTCGTCATTTTCATGTCAATAATGCTCTGTCCTGCCGCCAAGAAAACAGAGCAGTGTTGGAATAACTCAAAAGCTGGAATTCTCGAACTGAAAACAAGACCAAGTCTCGGTCAAAAAGAACGAAATTAATTAGCGTTTACTAAACTGTAGAAAAGCAGTTTTATATAATAGTTTACGTTGAATTGGGCATATAAAATACGGATCATTTAACTTATATTATGACAATAATGGACGTATACAGCTGGGGATGGCGAGTGCGTTGGAGACGTTATGCGGACAAGCCTTCGGGGCGAAGAAATATTACATGTTGGGAGTGTACATGCAACGTTCATGGATCATTCTCTTCATATTCTGCGTCTTGCTGTTGCCCATTTACTTCTTCGCGGCACCGGTCCTGAAGCTTCTCGGACAGCCAGATGACGTGGCCGAGCTCTCCGGCACGGTGGCCGTGTGGGTCATACCCCTCCACTTCGCCTTCGCCTTCAGCTTCCCCCTCCAACGCTTCCTCCAGTGTCAGCTCAAGAACTCCGTACGTGTATTCCTATGTATGTATATGTATAAACAAGGATTCTTGATAACTCATACGACTTTTATGTGAGAGCAGGTGACGGCGTGGGCTTCTGCGGTGGCGCTGGTGGTGCACGTGGGGGTGAGCTGGCTATTCGTGGGGGTTCTGAAACTTGGGGCGGCCGGCACGATGGCTACGATCAATGTCTCGTGGTGGGTCAGCGTCCTCGTCATGTACGGTTACACTGTCTCCGGCGGCTGTCCTCTGACGTGGACTGGCTTCTCCGTCGATGCTTTCGCCGGACTCTGGGAGTTCGTCAAGCTCTCGGCCTCCTCCGGCGTCATGCTCTGGTTTTATTTTAAACCTTTTTTCAATCGTTGATGTTCCTTAATTTGTCGTTTTCCGTGAGAATTAAATGAGGGTAGACAAGATCTAATGTTTTTTTGTCGGACAGCTTGGAGAATTGGTACTACCGAATCTTGATCCTCATGACTGGGAATCTCAAGAACGCCAAGATCGCCGTCGACGCCTTGTCCATTTGGTACGGTACTACTTTTCTCTTGTCCTTACCCTTTGTCTGAAAATGTGTCTTTATGCTTCCTTTTTTTTTAATTTAAAAAATGGATTATAATGGAAATGTGGAATCGGATTTGGGCAGTATGACAATCAATGGCTGGGAGATGATGATTCCTCTCGCCTTCTTCGCAGGCACCGGGTAATCTCCTTACATTGCAACAATATATATATATATATGTGCGTAGTAATTTCAAGCCTGTATATATCTCAACACATATGTACGGGACGTTGTTGTAGGGTGAGGGTGGCGAATGAACTGGGAGCGGGCAACGGGAAGGGGGCGAAATTCGCGACGATAGTATCGGTAACGCAGTCGTTAATAATCGGACTGTTCTTCTGGGTGGTCATAGTTCTTCTCCACGACCAGATCGGTTGGATTTTCTCTTCCAGTGAACCTGTCCTCTTAGCCGTCAACAAGCTCTCCATCCTCTTGGCCTTCACCGTCCTTCTCAACAGCGTCCAGCCCGTTCTCTCCGGTATGCAACCCAACAACTGTATTCATATTCGATAATTAATATCATAGGTTTGCCCTTAACATATTCTTGACGGTCCATTGAGAATCATGCATGTTATAGTAGCTAAAACACTTTGTGCAGGTGTGGCTGTTGGGTCGGGTTGGCAATCCTACGTGGCATATATAAACTTGGGATGCTACTACTGCATTGGGCTTCCACTGGGATTTGCCATGGGTTGGGTTTTCAAATACGGTGTCATGGTACGTGGAAGCCTGCATCGTATCTTATAACACATGCATGTTTTCGTTCTCATTTGCCATGTTTGGACATCGATGATGATGATGATGAATGATAGGGGATTTGGGCGGGCATGATATTTGGAGGAACCGCGATTCAGACGCTGATATTGATTATAATCACGATGAGATGTGATTGGGAAAAAGAGGTAACCCCCATTTCATTCTACATTTCTCGTGGTTATCTCCTGTGTTTGAACTTAACCATGAGATTTTTTCATTCCATGTTTCAACAGGCGCAAAGAGCGAGCGCACACGTGAACAAATGGTCCAATACCATAAAATAAAGATGGATGGATTGCCGAGATATGTATATGAAAAAAATTTCGAAGCATTATTTTTCGTAAAAGCTTCTATACCGTAACCAAATTGCATTGATACTGTATCATATATTTTGGCAAGTCGAAATCAGAATATATCTTTGTTGAGTTCCCATACTCGAGGGCCGAGTCAATGATGTGATCAAAACATGAAGCAGCCATGGTTGGTCCAATTGTGCAAATGAACATATATGACTTGCATGATCTATGAGTGTACATGGCAATGCACAAGGAGATCACAATTTCGATTTGAAATTTATACAATCAAATAAAGCCAATAAAACACAACCCGTATTGTTTTTCATTTGACTATGAACACAAACCAAGATTAAACCATTTACAACGTCCAACGATGACGTTTCCAAACTTCAAAACCGGAGCGGTTAACTGCTCAGTTGGACCGGTTCATCAAATGTTTCCCATCCCGGAAATTGAACCGGTTCATCAATTGTTCCCCAGATGGACAATTGGACCGGTTCCGGGTCATCAAATGTTTCCCACACGGGCTCAGTCATACCCGTATCCACATCTCTATAGCTCACTATCATTTTATTATCCCCAAAGACTTTACCTTTCAATTCCCTTACCACGAAACCAAAAATCTTCCACCAAAACTTTGCACCTCCAAGAAAACCCAATCATTTTTTCCTTGGTCTGTTCAAGCCTAACCAAAACCGGGCCCAACTCGTCCGAGCCGGTATAACCAAGATCCGGTTTAGTCAATCTCTCATTCAATACTTCAAGTCGTACCATGACCAATGGCATCACTGAGAAATAGTCTTGGGCCACGAGTTCTCTGATCCCGTCCACGATCTTGTTTTGGTATAACGCCGGATTTTCCGGCCTTTGACATATACATTCGAAGAAACTCACGACAAAACCGGTTTGGTGGACTAGATAACCGGTTTTGTAAGACGACACGCGGTTTTTCTCCACGGCCCTCTCTTTTGAGTAAGATGTGAAGTTTGGGAAATACCCTAAAACTCTATAAGCGGACGAGAGACAATCCAGATACCGAACGTACCTGCAGATTTGCGACCATGGAAATCAACATCCAATGAAACCCTACATGTATGTATCTATAGCTAGGTTAAACACCGAATCAGCTGAAGAAAGCATGAGGAATGAAAAGGGTACTCACCATCTAATCCATGGAGACAACTCAAGAGTCAGATGAGAGGAATGGTCTCGAAAATTATTAATTTTGAGATTGTTTCGTCCTTCCGAGTAAATGAAATGATGATCCTTGATGTAGAATTCTCTGTTTAAATTATGATCTGGTTTGATGATCTTGTGGAGGATGATGAGAGATTTGGCGGCCACGCAAGCATCTCTGGTGTCTTGTAGCCTCGACAAGACGGCGGAGACAGTTGCAGGAGCATACCGGCGGCTGCCGGAGTAGGAGATGACGGCGGCAACGCAGTCATCGGCCGGTGGCTTCGTACAGTTATGAGTGGTTGATTTCAGGAGGGCTAAGTGAAGGGACCTGGTGTTTGGTCTGAGGGCATGAACCATGCCGGCTTTGCCTTCTGAAGCTTTGTCTTTGAGTTTTCCAATGAGGCTTTTGAGTTTTGCCATTATTTGTGAGCGATAATTTCGTTTAGATGTGATTTGGGTTTCGTCTTTATCATTTTCATGTGCTTGATTTTTCAATATTTTATCCCAAAGTCGTCGTTATATATATAAAATGTATTTTTAAATGCATTTAATAAGACATTTCCGGCAAGACTTTGTCCGGTCAATCACATCCTTCTCGTACAGGAATGCATCCTTGTATCAAAATGCAAATTGGTTGGAAAAATGGTATAATGTGACAAAATTGTTATCTGACGCCGACATGATTGCATAAAAATCCTAATTGGAGGCATATTTTGGAAGTTTTTGTTTAATTTGTCAACTGTCGATTTTTGGCATCCTTATTGCCTTTTTTAAATTGTTTATGCAACTTGCATAATCTTTTTTCTCCATATTCGCATCCGATTTGTCCAAATATTTGGTCTCCAATATTACCAATTGATTTATACAGTACAAATTTGATAGATGATTAATTATAGAAAGATAATAACTTACGAATTTAAGAAAAATAAAGTGATAGTTGAAATATTAAATGCATTTAGACTATTTATATTCCACTAAAAGTCTTTGTTTATTTTAAAATATTAATTCAAAAAACGTGGTGCCATAACATATTATATAGAAAAGCAGCCCAACCCAATTCAACCTAATTAATTTGAGACTGGGTTTGGACCAACCCATTAAAATTGACAATAGCCCACTAAGTTTAATGGATCACGTGGCCCTGACTGTACACCGTGCACGTGACTCAACGGACGTCGATCACGGCATCGTTATGCAAACCGGCACGTGACTCACCGGTTAACTCAAACACGAGCTCGGCTCACCTGGCGCAACAACCAGCCGTTGATGCAATCGGCGAGGAACACGTGTCCGCATCTCGGAAGCGGCTTTAGCGTCTCGCCTTGTTCGAAATCGCTCAGGCAGATCGCGCACTCGAATCCCCCGTCCTTCCCTATCGTTTTCGCCGCCGAGGAGTAGACGAACGCCCGGAAAGCCTCTATCTCTGACGGATTCAGGCTCCGCCGCGACGCTCCGTCGCAGGAAGCGGCGTGATGGCGCTGTTTTCTTCGCGCAGGCGAATGTAGACGGAGAAGAAGACAAAGATGAGGGCGAGGAGAACGATGGCCACCGAGGGATGTACGTTATAGTAGATTTCAGGGGAGTTCGTCGGTGATACAGGCGGAGGTTGAGTTTCCGGTGGCAGTGAAACGGTGAGGAAGACGATACGACGGTTAGGGTTGAGTCCGTCACCGAGTTGAATCATGAAGTACACTGCGAGAGTGAAACGACGATTTCCGTTGTCGTATTCTTCAGAGAGCAGTAGGTTTTTTTTAATAACGGCTAGTATTGGAGATCGGACGGACTTAATTGAGCCACGTGGATTTTGAAGGAACCATCTGGAAGATTACGGAGAGTGATACTTGTCCTGTTATATGATTCGATTTTCTGTCATTTTAGAACCTTGAATTACGCTGCATTATATTATTATTATTATAATCTTTTGTTTGCATTAAGGGGTATTTTAAGTTTTTATAAAATGAGTCATTCATTAATACGGCTTAATAAAAGTGGGACGTAGATGGATACTAATGGGCCGATATGAAGCATATTTGGGCCGTTAAACTGCAGGCTTTCTTTCGTTATTAAAAAAGAAAATCCAAAACGACGCCGTTGTCTTTTAATTAAGTTCGCTGGCGATTTTTTAAGGAAATTGAACGTCGCGCCTAAATTAAAAAGCGAGAAAATGTAAAATAAGTAGCGCGAGATAAATGCACTGGTCGATTCACGTATCACGCGGATCGACATGCTTTAGGAAGATCATAACCGTTGATTGGATAATGGATCTAACGGATGAAAGCGACTGGCTGGTCCGACGACGAAATTATTCGAATTTCCATGTCTCCCTCCCCTCAGCTCGAGTATAAAACTAACCCCGCGATCCCATGTCCTCTCATCCCCGTCACAGTCTCTTCTTCTTATAGAAATCAAAGCAAGAGGAATATCTGTTCTTCGCGATCTTCTTCGGTTTTGAAATGGCTCGTACCAAGCAGACAGCGAGGAAGTCCACCGGAGGCAAGGCCCCGAGGAAGCAGCTGGCGACGAAGGCGGCGAGGAAGTCGGCTCCGGCGACCGGCGGTGTGAAGAAGCCGCACAGGTTCCGTCCGGGAACTGTGGCTCTCAGAGAGATCAGGAAGTACCAGAAGAGCACTGAGCTTCTGATCCGTAAACTGCCATTCCAGAGACTGGTTCGTGAGATTGCTCAGGATTTCAAGACGGATCTTCGTTTCCAGAGCAGCGCCGTCGCAGCTCTCCAGGAGGCGGCCGAGGCGTATCTCGTTGGGTTGTTCGAAGACACCAACCTTTGCGCGATCCATGCCAAGAGGGTCACGATTATGCCCAAGGATATCCAGCTGGCGAGGAGGATCAGAGGTGAGAGAGCTTGACGGAGGAAGACTGGTCTGGTTATTCCGTTTTTTGCTTTGTATATCTTCTGGGGTCTGGCAGGTTTCTACTTGTTCGTTAGGTATAGTTGCTCGTGCTTAAGATTACGTCTTCCAGGTGTTTGTTGAAATGCTTCAATGAATTTTTGCTTCCTTGGCATTTTGATTACATTTACATGGGATTGAATGCACTTTGAATTCAGAAATACAGCGGGGATTAATCCATTAACTTTCTTCCATTCTACATCGGTATTAAAGTAAAGAATTATACACAAAGTTTTATTTTTTTTATTTATCGATAAATGATAATTCTTACCATTGTTTGGCTCATAATTTTGAACCGGGTCTTGAACCAAATTCCACAAAGACCACACCATCTCACACGCTATCATTTCTTCCGGCCGACCTAACCGGACTCTGAACTGGGCTGTCGGGTTGGGAGAACCGGGTCTTCGATTCTTGAACTCGTCCACGACAATAACTTGACACCGAAATGGATAGGTCTCTGCAACGAGCTTCCAATGGAGACAGATCTTCTCACAGCTCCCACTCTTGCTGCTCTACAATGGTTAGCCAAATCGCTTTGTGCCCTCGAAAGGAAATTCGGGTTTCTGAATCGAATTTTTGCTTCCTTGGCATTTTGATTACATTTACATGGGATTGAATGCACTTTGAATTCAGAAATACAGCGGGGATTAATCCATTAACTTTCTTCCATTCTACATCGGTATTAAAGTAAAGAATTATACACAAAGTTTTATTTTTTTTATTTATCGATAAATGATAATTCTTACCATTGTTTGGCTCATAATTTTGAACCGGGTCTTGAACCAAATTCCACAAAGACCACACCATCTCACACGCTATCATTTCTTCCGGCCGACCTAACCGGACTCTGAACTGGGCTGTCGGGTTGGGAGAACCGGGTCTTCGATTCTTGAACTCGTCCACGACAATAACTTGACACCGAAATGGATAGGTCTCTGCAACGAGCTTCCAATGGAGACAGATCTTCTCACAGCTCCCACTCTTGCTGCTCTACAATGGTTAGCCAAATCGCTTTGTGCCCTCGAAAGGAAATTCGGGTTTCTGAATCTGGAACCCGGGAATCGATCTTTATCCTCGGTTCCATCGCCGACTTCACTTGTATTCCCGTTCCGTTCTTCACTTCTGGGTTCGTTGCTCGAGCTCGGATTATCTGAGTGATTCGTCTGGAGAGATTCAGAGACTGTCTCGTTGGCGAGTACAGGTGCACGACATAAAGGGCAGTTCTTGTGCGAGAGCAGCCAAGTGTCGATGCAATCGATGTGAAACGCGTGGCTACACTTTGGTAATAATCTCAGCAGTTCGTTTTCTTTAAATTCGTTCAAGCAGACGGAGCAATCTGTGCCGTCGATCAACCGCTCCTCTTTTTTGAATCTGAAGGCCGTGATCGAATTTATCGCCGAGCGCCGGAGACCGACAGTGGCGATGTGCCAGATATGGTGGTCGATATGTGTTCTCCAGTCTTGGCCGGAAAAATCTCTGTCTCCGTCTTCTTCTTCTTCTTGTCTGGAGGCGTCTCTGGTAGCCATGGCTTGGTTCAGCTGTGATCTCTTGATGGCGAAGTACAAGTAGGCGACGAGGCAGAGGAAGAGAAGGACGCCGCCGACAATGCAGATCATGGTGATGATGGGGAGGGTGACGCCACTCCGCTGCCAGCTGACGACATCGTCGTGATCGTACTCCGGTGATGGCGGCGGAGGCGGAGTAAATGCCCGGCAACAAGTGATGGAGAACGTGAAACCCTCTCCCGGTGGAGACCGGACGAGCATCTTTCTGTGAAGAAACGCCATGGATATAGCTCGAAAACAACTGAAAAGCCTCTGTCTGAACCCTGCTTCGATAAAATTGGGCTGAATCGAATCTACATTACAATGACTTCGAGTCTTCGATGAAACTAAGGAAGAAAAAAGAGAGAAAGATAGCAACTTTTTAGGGTGCGGAAATTTGGGACGAAATTGCGTGGTAGTGAATGTAAGTCATTAAGGAATATCACTATCTTCCAACGACTCGGGGCACTGACTTGTGTTGTGTTGTAGTTTCCTTCCATCTTCTTCCTTCTGGTCCCTTTAGAACAAAATTGTCAAACACGACATGACCCGACTTTGAAAAAAAAAAAAAAAACTTTTTGATAGACACGTTTACGCGTGCGATGAACCATATGTCTTCGATGGAAAGTTTTCATCTTTAAAAAACTGGTAATTTCCTTTGAAAATTATGATGGTCGAATCATCTGCATTTAAATTTCGATGATAGATCGATGCAGGACAGCAAGAACATAGGGATATCATGAGAATATCGAGTATAGGGTTACTTTGTTTTTTCACATTTAATCAATCAATTGCCTGATTATTTATCGTTGATAAGGAACCCATCAACCAAAACTCCTACATTTTTTTTTAATGTAATTTAAGATCTCAAAGCGTATCTCGTATCTCTCCTCTTTCTCGTGGGCTTTCCACTTATATGGGAATAATATGGCAATGATAACTCACACACAGTTTTGGTCCAACAATAATCATAAGATTTTAAAAATTCTTCTAAGATTGGTTTAATCAGTAACAATTTTATAATATATATATATATATACACACGCACTTCAAACGAAAAAAATATATATAAATGTTGCACTATATAGTTGTTGTATGTATATAACATCGTTGGGCTTTCTATATTTTTGTGTTTGTCTTCCAAGAAAGAATGCATGATTCTTCAAAAAATCATGGGTTCCATACAATTCTCCGGTGATTCTATTATTACTTTTTGAGTGGTTTACTTTTTTTACGTAAATTCGGATAATTTATCACCGTATTTGAAGGTTGTGGCTAAGTTTCCGCCGTTATAAAAAAAACTTTATTTTCTCTTCTTCCCCTCCCTTTTCTCATCTTTGCTTTTTAATGCTTTCCGATTTCAATTTTTTTATTTTTTTTATTTACATTTGCCATCAATTCCAAACAAATCACAATTATTAGATTCCCTTATAACAGTTATTGCTTAACCCTAGGACCTAACATCTAAAGCAGCAACCTTTTCTAGGGGGCTCACATTGAGATATATTAGATTCTTTCTCCCCTTTTATCCATTCTTAATATATATATTTTATCCACAATTATTCGATATGATATTATTATTTAGATCCATCAACGATATTAAAATGCAGGTGAATCGTGGGAAAAAAAATAATGGTTGATATAAACTGTATTTTAATATATAACTGTACCTACCGATATTGTTTAATATTTTTTTATATCTACTGTATTATGTATATATATATATAATTATCTTGCGGTGAAAAAGTCAGCCATCCCATTCAAATCTGTTCCCTTACCCGTAACCCAATCTTTTTTTAATCTTGTGGGTTTCCTTTGCACACGTCACACTTGTCTCCTTCATAAATACCTCGTATATATATGTATATATACATGTATGTACAAACGATTTTCACATGATATATATTGATAACCAAACTTTCATATTTCTCGTTGGTTATCTTACTTCAAACTTGGGTTTTATATAAGGAATTTCAGTTCGAATTTATATTTTTTATAGACTTAATATCTTAATTGTAATTTAAATCGTGATGTCATGTGTACGAATGAAGTTTGAATTCGATTTTTTTTTTTGTAAAAGCATAACTCAAAATCCATATATAGAATGAAATTTTGATGAAGCCCATAATAAACATGTCAGAGGATAATGTCACGACCATATGAAATTTATGAAAAGGGGTTTTGCAATTTCAACTCCTTCAATTTTTTCATGAATTAATTTGAGAAATTGACACTACGCAGAGATAACCAGCCGAAAGACAGGCCCATATATAAATATATACAAGTCTTCCATAAACATAGCAAATTAATTTTCGTACCCAACCAACTGGACCGACCTATATTAGATATTTATATATAGATATGGATCTAGACATATATATATATATATTAACGCGATATATATCTATGTATATGATTATATAAATTACGGGTTGGTACGCTGTATTAATTATGCTCTCATCCATTGAACAAGACATTTGAAGAAAAATTTACAACAGGCGATCCTTTTGTGATTTTTATTCTAATTTTACGTAAATTTTCCATTTTTATAACATTAAAACTTTATAGGATATCTCCTGCGAATAAAACTGGTTTGAGATGAGTTTAAAAAAAAAACAACATAGATACTATTAATATAACATATATAAAGATGTGTTCTTTTAAAGAATCTCTATAACCAATAGGATTTTCAAATTACACTTTCTGATTAATTTTATACTCCCAATGTTTATATTTTCTAGATAGTAAAATTCCAGATTTGTTTATACAATTATTTTCTTAATAAAATAAATCCAATAAAGATGACCATTTTTAAAAATAAATATTTAAATTATTGCCTCGAGATCAATTTGCTACCGGCTTGAGCCGAGCCGAGCCGAGCCTTAAGTCCATTCGTTCGAATATTACGAGAACAACCGTCTACAGCCGATCAAAAAACTCCATATTCCTTTTTTTTTTAATTTACTATAATAGGAATTACCATTAATTAGAAAAAAAACTTTTTTTTTCCATCTTGCATATGTACATTGAACATTTTTATTATGAATGCCAATTTAATGATAAAGCCAAGCGACGTATGAGGAATTATAGTGTTATGTACGACGGTCTACGTGTTATTATAAAGTTTTTGTCTTTTAATTAGTTAATACACTCGTCTCTAGGGGTGGACGTTTCGGAAAACGGTTCGGGTTCGGGACAGAATGGATCGGTTCGGTTCTTTCGGTTTTACAAAAATAGGTACCAATCGGGGTTTTTATTGTATTCGGTACGGTTCGGTTTCGGTATCGATTCGGTTCAGTTTCGGAAAAATTCGGTTTTCTAAAAATGATACCGTTCGGAAAATAACAGCGATTTCGGATCGAGAAAAATACCGTTTTAACGGTTCGGTTCAGTCCGGTTCCGAAGAACAGCCTACTCGTCTCTTTGTGAGGGGAATTATGCCGCTTTTTTAATATATTATCTAATTTGATCAGGATGAAGATTCAAACCGATTACTTCTCCAAAATTACCACGATCTAGAAAACACAAATTCACTTGGTCCCTTCGATTATATATCATATTTGTATTTCTATATACAAATATGATAATATCTTTTACGATTAAAGGTTGGGTTATTTCATATCAAATATATTGAAATTACTCGAGATTTTGTCACCGTGTATTTCTCCCACGGCTAAGCAGCCGTGGTCTTATATATTTAAATCCAGGAAGAAACTGTGAGGCCATCTCTCTCTCTCTCTCTCTCTCTCTCTTCCTCTCTCCTCCATCGGCTAAAAAAGATCTGAATTCCGTGGGAAAAATATGATCTTGAAAAGATGATGTTTTTCTTGGTGGGTTTTTGGTAGAATCTACTGGGTATTACTTGTTTTCCTCAGCTTCAAGATCTTGATGGATTAAGACCCAGAGGAGTTAAGGATCCCTTCTTAATGGCTGTGAAGATGTGTGTTTTTCTAGCAACAATTCAAACAACAGGACCATCTGTCTGGTCGTAGTTTGGTTCCCCCAATATCCAAACAGAGCCTTATAATCCTTCGGAGGAAGTTGACAGAAACAAGATGAAGAGATCATTCGGAGGCTCAGATTCTCTCGGTGTTTTCATGTCCGTCTGCACAACCACAGGAGGTGAAAAAACTTCTAGCATACGTTTATATATTTGATCATTCCCAATTTAACTGTCTGGCAATCATCGTGGCCAGACGAGCAAATGATAAGCCCGAGATCATGCACGAACTTCCTGTACTTCCCGGCGATGGCGGAAGAGGAGGAGGAGGGGTGCCACGTGGCGGCGGGGGAGGGGGAGAAGAAGAGGAGGCTAAGCGTGGAACAAGTAAAAGCGCTGGAGAAGAACTTCGAGATAGAGAACAAGCTCGAGCCGGAGAGGAAGGTGAGGTTGGCCATGGAGTTGGGGCTGCAGCCGAGACAGGTGGCCATATGGTTCCAGAACCGCCGTGCCCGTTGGAAGACTAAACAGCTCGAGCGCGACTTTCTCCTTCTCAAGTCCAACTTCGATTCCCTCAAACGCAACCGCGACGCTCTCCAACGCGACAACGACTCCCTCCTTCATCAGGTCCTTCCTTATAATAATCACACGCTTTTGAAAAAAATGTTAACTCTTTAATTGTAAATATTTAGATACAGTCTATTAGAATCTGAGACTGCGAAAGTTGAGTTAATTTTAGTACATACATACATACATACATACATACATACATACATACATACATACATACATACATATATACGTATATACATGTGAGTGCAGACAATGCCATGTTACGTGCAATGAAAAAAGAAACATATTTATTGAGACCACGACTCACGTTTGCGTATTAAACGGTAAGGTAACAACAATGCACGTTTGTGTATTTTTTTCACAGTTAAAGGAGCTGAGAGCACAACTCAACATAGAAGGGACCGTGAGGGAGGGAGAAGAAGCCGCACCGCCTCCGCCGGCGACGGACAACGATGTTCCGGAGGTGAGCCACCGTGAGCCTCCGCCTCCGCCGCCACTGACGGCGGAGATAGAGTACGATATGTTCGATATTTTCCCAGGAGCCGAAAGCTTCAAGGACGGTCCGGCCGACAGCAGCGGATCCAGCGCCGTCCTGAGCGAGGAATGCCACAGCTCCACCACGGCGGCGGCGGAGATGACGTTGGGGTGTTTTGGTAATTTCGTGAAGATGGAAGAGCATGGAGATCTTTTCACCGGAGAGGAGGCTTGCAAGTTGTTCGCCGACGACGAACAGTGGTATTGCTCCGATCAGTGAAAAGTCGTGAGAAAGGAGGAGAAATTTAGGGGTATCTATGACATTTTTAGAAAACTTTGGGGTCGATATAGAATATATAAATGTTACGGGTCTGAAATGAAATGGGAGGAAGCGGAGGGTAATACCGGAAGAGAGAATTCGATCCCGAGGGGGATCACGTGTGGCTTTATGTGAGAATTCGCACGTGTGGCGGTAAATCCAAAAAAGTTTCTCCCTAACCTCAAAAAAGACGGAAAAAAAAGGCTGAAATAATTAACTTTGAAAAAAAAATGTCACTGAGAAATTATTTAAAAAATTTATAAACCCAATTTTATCTTGTTTATTCGTCTTACCTACTTTATTTAGTAATCACATGTGAATTTTAATGGTATTTGGATATACCGTAGCTTATAATTAGTTCGTATATCTTATTGGAAAAATATCATAGTTTGCGATAAAAAAAAATTTAAAATAGATATAACCAGACATGTGATGGTGCATTGAATATGCCCAATTCTTCAAAAAAAATCCCAAAGGGCATTTATTTAATGACACGATGTTATGTGTACAAGCTTTTCCACGGGTTAGCCGTTGCTTTCACTTGATCATTAAAAAAAATATAAAACAAAAACGTTTAATTTTTTTATATATAATTACGCACAACAAATCTAAAACGATAGCACTCGAACTCAAAAGTTTATAATTATCTGCGTAGAATATATATATATATATATATATATATATATATATATAATATTGAAAACTTATAATGAGAAAATAAATATATATTTAAAAAGATTTAAATTGATTAGAAATAATTATAAAAATGATTGAAAGAAATTAAAGATATAAAATTAATTAACAAATAATGATAATTATGTCAATTATCTCTTAATTTATTTATTTTTATTATATAATATTTATTTATAAATTTCTTTCTTTAATTATATTTTATTGTTTTTTATAAATAGATGAATTATTTTTATTGTAAAACAACATAGATGTAATAATAAAAGTGTTTTTGTTTTAGTTTTTTTTTTTAATTTTCACATTTTATTTTTAATACGATATTCATAAGTGACAAAAAAAAATCATGATAATCTATTTTTTTTTTGTCTTTTACTCAAAATAAATATTTTGTCATTTACAGCTTAATCATACATCACCAATAGAAAAATATAGAATATAATTATGATTTCCCTTAATTTAATGTATGTAGAACATTTTAAGTTTATGAAATAGGATCGATCTTTAATCCTTATGATATAATGCTCTAATGTTCAATCAGTGACGTTTGTGTGCAATATTTTGATAAATAAAGTCGCAGCGTTAATATCCATGAAATCATCTCATAATAATTTTAATAACGGTGTAAATTTGGTTAAGAAAAAACTTATATATATATATATATAAAAAGGAAAAGTGAGACAAGAGGAAGTGGGGAAATACACAGTTGGATTGGGATTCTGTGTGTGAGTTTCAGAAATTCTGAAGCTCTGTTTCCATATGTTTTTTTTTACCTTTTTTTTTTATAAAAATTTTAGCACGCAACTGTACGTATCCATCCTACACTACACGTATACAGTGATGATATGATATGACATTATCGACGTATATATTATATCAGATAAATTTATTCTTAATATTTAAATTAGTATATAAATTAAATATATTACCGTTTCAAAAATAATGTAAAACAATTATATAACATCACCAAAACAACTAAACGGTTTAGTTTTTTACATTTATTTAATTTTTTTTTATTATAAATCTTATAATGAACATTTTTATAAAATCATAAACCTTAGCTTAAGGTTTTTTTCTTATAAATCTTATAATGAAATTTTTTATATTTGCCCTGTGAATGTTTTTTTTTCCATAATATTACATATATTTATGTTAATAAGACACTCGTTTGTTTTCTTCGTACAAAATTATATTATTATTTATTGTATATTTGGTTTAAACAACAAAATCAAATCGTAACAACTTTTAAAATCGCAAGAGCATATTCTTTCACACAAATTATTTTTAAATAAAATATATATATATATATATATATATATATGCTGGTTTAGGACAAGGCCAAAAGCCATGGGGCCATGACCAGTGTTGCGCTTTCTCTTTCATACGCACAGGGACAGTGGTGGAGAGACATGTGAATGTGGGTCCCTGCGACACGTCATTCTCGCGCGCGCGGTCACATCACCCTTCTTAATACTTCACATTACCCCTTACATATCCCTTCATGTTCATGTGCTTCTTCTCCTTTTTCAGTTTCAATTTCACTTTTTCTTTTTTTTAAAAAATCACCCTTTAATTGCGCACATGTCAAATAATAGTGTAATTTCTCATTTCACCGCCGTCAAAAAAGAACGCCGATACGGGCTATGCGCTTGGTACGATCGATGTGATGATATTCATTAATCTCTAAATTTCGCGATGATTAATTCGTGCGTTTTGTAAGGAAATTGTGAAAGATTAGGGAAAATGGTGATATGGTCTAACATATATTTCGCAATTATAATAATATCTGTTTTATTTTAAAAAAATGGCCCTCTATTTCGACGTCTACGGATATGGTCTAAAATCATTAGAAAATATGGTGATTATAGCCTAATTAATATATAAAAAAAAAAGTAAATGTTCCTTGCAGAAAGCCCTACCGGTCGTCGCGTAATCAGATAATTAAATTATTCCTAGAGATAAAAAAATAAAAAAATAAAAATAAAGTTATAATTTGGGTCGAGCATTTTGTGAAATGCCAACTTGATGCAATGATGCTACCCCAAATCCGAACCATGCATGTGCATTCGTAATGCATCGCATCGATGCTTCTTATAACGGGCCGAATGTTGGGGCCCATATAAAAGAGACCCACATTCCCTACCCCGGCCCGGCCCGTTTACCTTTTTCGTCGGTCAAGTTTGAATCTTCCTGCCACGTAAGCAGAACCCTTCCGCCCCAAGAAAGAATCTGACTTACACGCCTTTGTTCAGCCATGATATGATCGACTCCGTCGGCTCGGCTCGGCTCGACTAGAGTTGTTGTAAATTGTAATCTTAAAAAATAAAAGCCAATAATTGCGGTATTATTCTTTTTTTCACCATGATATTTATGATATTACCTTATTAGTTTATAGCATTTATTTACCACTGCAAGGTATCTATGCATGATGCTATGTGTAATTTATTATAATAGTCTCGTAGGATAACATGAGCCTAGTCATTATATAATATATATTATAGAAATTATGTTTATTCCTTGGTTTTATGCAATTTTAAAATGTTTAAAAATAATTAAACCAATATTAGCGTACTTGATTGGGTGTTGATTAATAGCATATACGGTCAGTATCTTTGAATATCAGATGATTCGAGTTCGAGCTAAGGAAACATTTATCTAAAAATTGAATGATTTTATTGTTTTATATTTTAATATAATAATGTAATTGAAAAAACATTTAAACTATTATTCAAGCAACAAGGGGTGGTGGCGCAGTTGGCTAGCGCGTAGGTCTCATAGCTACTGAGTGATCCTGAGGTCGAGAGTTCGAGCCTCTCTCACCCCAATTTGTTTTCCCATTTTTCTTTAATGTTGTTGGGCCTTATGGGCCTTATATATTTGAAAGCCCACATATTTTTCTATTTGCCCTTTGATAAATTGCATGTTATGTTACCACACCATTCATCGGCCCTTTTGTAGTTATTCACTTTTTGAAATAACCTCTAATTTTAAAATTTTATTTGTAACAACTAACGATCATTCATTATTGTAGGATTTTTACTGTTACTGTTATGTTGGTGCCTGACAAAACGCGCTAGTACAGTTACTCTCGAATAGAAACATTAAATATCTCGTAGTGGAAGATTTAAGACATGAATTTGTTTTTGTCCAATCAAAGAAGTTAAGTACGAAATTACCCATATCACCAGTTTAATCCTGCTTTCGGACGTAGTCATATTATAAATTTCTTATGATGATAATGTTAAATATAATTCTAATTAAATAAAATAATTTCATATATCAATACGTTCCAAAGCGACAAATTTAGGAATTTATCGTTATTTTAAATTAAGTTGGATTGAGGATTAAGAAATTAGGGGATCTTAAACCGACGAACATTTGAAAAATAAACCCACGGGTTCTAGATGTCTGGCTTTTTCCATAAAATAATGGTCGCCTTTTTAGACTACAACCCCCACGTGTGCACGCAATCATAATAATAATAATATAATGAGACGTCTCGAGTTCATCCCACGCGCTACGCTGCACGTGGGAACTTCCAGCTGCCACGTCACCTTCAGGTAGACCTAACACACGTGTGGATCCCATTCTCTATGACTTTTAATCAGAGCCGTCCATCACCATCACGACCATTCCCCCTTTTACCCTTTGCGTTAACACGGCGAGGCTATGCCCTACTCCTTTGTGGAAATCGCTGTCACCTTTAGCCTTGACTTTATGAATCATCTTGGAAATATCGGCTACACATATATGCGTATATATGTAATGAATGCATCACATACCCACACGTGTGCGTCTCTCTCTCTGTGTATATATATATGTATATAATGGACGTATCAGAATGAAAGGAAGAAGAGGGAAAATGGAATGCAGAAAACACAACCACCGAAGCGAGCAAGGGGTATGCCCTTGTTGCTTACGTGATAAGCTTTCTCGGTTACCCTTCTACGTCCAGACACGATCTCCGTCGTCTTCATCCCCTGTCTCTCCCGCGCCGGCGATGTCACTCGCGGCCGTCAACATCCATCAGCGCTCCGGTTCCATGTCTTTCGCACTCAGAGAGGCTCTCACCGATTTCCATGGCTCGGGGCTCAAGAAGAGCAGATCCATGGCTTTTCCTGCCAGAGATCATACGAAGACGATGACAAAGAAGAAGAAGTCGACGGCGGCGGCGAAGAAGTTAGGGTTTTGGACAAAGCTGCTTCCTTTCAGAGGGAAAGCTGCTGGTTCTGACGGAGGATTGTTGCAAACGCGGCAAAGATTTCACTATTGACTCCAAAAATATAGTTTTTTTTTTTCTCTTCTTATACTTGTCTCTTAATTTTCTCAGAAGAATCGTGTTTGTATATACGTACAGCTGAACAAGAAAGATGGAAGAAGAACAGGCTTCGGCCGACTTTTATGCAAAAATCTGCACGCGTCCATACAAAGCCCAGTTTGACTTTGATTTTGTCTTGTTTCAGGACACATGATGATGATACAGTTTGTGCTGTCCCTAAACCCTAAACTCTAAATGGTAAAATAAAACCAGACGTGTGAAAAATGAAACAGTAAATATTTTCAAAGCCCATACTAAGAGTCAAAAAAAGGGATTTTTCTCATTTAAAGATTAGTGCTTGAAAACATACAAACCCTACAAAAGAGCCAAATAGCCTCCGTAAATCACCAAAAAAAAAAAATTCAAAAGGACAGCACAAAAAGTTTTTTTTTTATATAAAAAAACTACACATCCCTTGATTTTTGGCAAATCAGAATCTTCACTCCTTTTCTTCTATACCATGTGTGTGTGAAATTCGTCTGTGACATCATCACCTGATGAATGATTACGAGTGACGCAGGTGAATTCTCCTCCTTTTTCTGCGTACATTTATAATCTGTACAGACGCCATTACAGTCAGGGTTCTTGAGCTTTCTCGTTTCCATTTACCTCGATCCGTCATCATCATAGTCACCATCCATGTAATGTCCATGATCTACCGATCGGTTTTTCAGTCTCTGAAATATCTCGTCCAGTGACTGAGATGACGACAGGTTCTGCTCTCTCGTGCCCGTTTCTGGAATCTGCCGAACAGGGAGGAACTTTTTGGTTGCGACATTGTCTTTGAAGCTCTGAAACCCTATTTTCATGTTCCGCCAGGTGGATGCCAGGCGAGAAGAGGGCTCGCTGCTCGGACCGGAGTTCGAGCTGTCTGCCTCGAGTAATGAGACCTTGGCCGAGGTAATGTCCTGGCCTTGTTTTCTAGTGGGCGACGACTGTTTGCTGCGTTGTTCTCTCATGGCTGCGTATTTGTTAGAGAAGGCTTCTCTGGTTGATCCATATCTACGACCATTGTTATCATCCTTTGATGGTCTGGATGATGTTCCCATCCCAGTTTCGACATCATTGCTACTACCACTCGTTAGCTTCATTTCCACAGAAGAATTGTCCTGGAAAAAAGTCAGTTAGGTTATGAATGCTGTAAATTCAGACAGGAACCGAGTCTAATGTTGTGTTCATGGAATCTACACATACAGAGAAGTTGGTTTCTGATTCGATTTCAACCCCATTAAAGTTCCGAGCCAGTGGAACGACATGCTCGCCGACTCTTTGCCCTTCTTCAAGCCACATCCGTTCTGACAATCGTGGAACCCAAGTTAAAGTCAAATGATATTATGTAAGAAAAAAGACAGAAACACAAAAAGTTATGGTTTGCGGTAACAAAATAAGTAGGAAACACATTTCAACAAATTTACTCTAAGATCTTATCTGATTTACCTTTTTTAAGAATCATTAATCCCGACGGGTCAAACCCATCCATGTCATCAGCCTCTGTTTGAAATCTAAATCGTTTCCAGCTACCAAAGTAATTAAAGATTCGGTCAAAGAAATTGCTCGCAACCAGCAAGGTGTAGAAAACCATTATAAGAGGGTAGATTTCATTGAAGGCTTGTCCAAAGAAAGGGACAGCACCGTCGATTTTACCCATTTTCTGCAATAACAAAAATTTAAAATCATCCGAAAGCCAGTCAAATTTTGTGTGCAACATGAAGGATAAAAATATACCAAGTTTATCACAAACACAAAGGGAGAGGAAAAAAAAATACCTTCTCGAAAATAGTCTCCGAATGAAGTTGAATGAGATTAATAAAGTTGTAACAAATGGGTGGGGCATATCGGGCAATCATCCTAGAGAGGTGTTAAGATTAAACAGTTATGACCATCTAAAACTACTTTGTCAAAAAGGGAAAACGTTATCAGAGGATGAATGATAACTTACGAGCATATCATCAGTAAGTTCACAGAACTTGTTTGTCGAGGAGTCAAGGAGTAAATCATCATCATCCCGATTTTGAACAGCGAGTAATATGTGCAAATGCACATATAGACCAACGGTACAAAGGCAAATACCTGAAAGCAAGATACCGAAAAAGATTAGTTAAAGCAAGGCAAACCCGATCAAACCACTTCATCAAACAATGATTTGCTTTCTATAGAGAGAAAAAAAAATGTAACTAGAAACCACCTGCACTAGTAATTCGTCTGATTTGACAGATCTTATAAGGACTGAGAAGAGAGACAAGTCGAGTTTACTGAGAAGGAGAGTTGCCTCCGCTAGAAGAATTGCACCCGACATAACACCCATAACTACTGCCAATATCTTCTTAATCTGTTTCTTCAGAATACACCTCCACATAAATTCTGTAAGGAACAATACATAATTCCAACCGGTAAATATCCAACAAGAATATTTATTTTGGGAACCGTGTCATTGGCTATTTTTTCAACTAAGTGAATTAGTTACCTAATGTATCTAGAAGATTTCCCATCTTGCCGATTCGCTCAGCCCTGAAGCTTGATATGTATTTCCTGAAAAAAGTGCAGAACAGATGCTTGTGTGACAAAGAATACTGTAAATGCCAAACATACACAGAAAGAGGAAACATCTATTGAATCAGAGACAAGATGAAGGAAGATCAGACCATCCAGTTGAATCAAGACGCTCATGATTCTTTATTGTGTCCTCGAGTTCAAGTGCCTCCGTAACATAAGTCAAATACTCACTGCAAAAAGGTCATAGTGATCAAACAAAAATCTACTAAACTGGCCGACAACACACACCTATGAAAGATGATAATGAATAAAAAAGGATAATACATCAATCAATAAACTCAATTTTTTTTTGTTGGAGATGATTCCTAGGGTTAGAAACCAAAGATTCCATACCTAAGTTTTTGTAACCTCGCTACTAAAGAATCCTAAATTTATAATGTTCCCAACATTAACTAAAACTATCTAGGGTAACTGGTTTCTACTACAGTCAGATATTCTAACGGATAAAAGACAGAAGCTCTAAAATAGACTTCTCTACCTTTTATATCGATAATATTCATCCTTAGCATTACGGAGGTGCCGCCTTAGTGTTGCCATCGATTTCTCATCCGTGTCATAGTCCATATCATTTTCACCCAATCGACCACCTTGCGGCTTAAATGATGGGTCTTCCTTAAACTGGAATAGAGAATCATAATTAAATTGGAGAAATGCTTCTGAAGAATTCTGTGACTTGGAAGAACAGCAATAAGTAGGACATACCATCCTAGCCAGCATTGCATCAATAACATCCATGTATGGTCTCATGGGATCACGTTTTGACATTTGATTTGATGTCGCTTGGGCAACCTACCATGGCATTCGTTATGAAATTCATATGATTATGCGTATTACAAAGATGCATATGACACATTAACGAAGACAAAGCTAATATGGGCTAGCAAAACCTGGCAAAAGCTATTAGATGATTTAAATCAATGAAAAACCGTTGGAAATTTAAGTGTACATTTTAGAATATTGCCACATATCTTGAATAGCTACATGGACTCCAAGGCTAAAATGACATGTAGGCAATTTGATAACTCTTCTTTGGCAGAGTTGCAAACACAAGGAATACTTGTGAGTAAAAAGAGTACTAAAAGATGCTTAACAGAAACAGAACTTACTACAATTGCATTTGAAAGTTCTTGGTGGGCATTATCAAGTTTCACAGCAATTTTGGCAATTTTGTGGGAGAGAACTTTTTGGCGGGTTGTCCAATCAGCATTCCTCCAAAGGGTCTTAGGAATTTCACTCAAGCCAAATCCAAGAAGAAACGCGCCAGTGACAAGCCCAAATGTATTTGAGCACGCCATAGCATAACCCGAAATGCTTCCTTTCCTATCAACAGATAACAAAGACCGTATGAAGGCCTTGGCCAACTGTATGGAGAATATCATCCCCAGAACAAAAGAAAAAAGAAACAAGCACCGGCTTTTTGAACCCAATATTTTAAGTTTTTCTACCCGGTGGTCAATTAAGTTGTGAGTCTTACAACCCTATCTAAAGACAACAAGCAAAAAGAAACAAAACCAATAGGCATCAACTAGGCAATTCAATGATGGAGAGGGAATATACCACTTCCTGTGCATTGTGATAAGAAGGATGAGACCGAGAAAGCCTATGAATCCCAAGACTAGGTAGAAAACCAAGTTGACGTGCACACTAGTCCTTAATCTCTCTGGCACAGTGAAGTCTCCAGCATCTTCAAAACCCTGGATAAGGGGCACCACGGCCCTGCTTAGAGGTAACATAATTTAAAATATATGAGGTAATGCACATCTATTAGCTGTAAAAATAATGTAGATGGATTTCTCAGAGGGTAAACATCACATAGAGCCGATCAAGATGAATTTACAACTCATGAAAATTTGTCACCGGGTGAAATGAAACAAGTGGAAAGGTGTCAGAAATATAACAGAAATCCACTAGAGACAATTAGGGTAATCTTTTGTGGTTGCACTAGCCACAAATTGGAGGAGACATCGAGAGGAAACTCAACGACTATACAGCAAAAGAGTTGTGAACTTTAGATATAGGAAGAACATGATGGGCCGTCCATACCAGGTAAGCAGAAATGTACTCCAGTATGACCAGCTCCAGAAGAAGGAAATGACCCCATTCTCAGGATGATTAGGCGGCAGAGATAACGTCTGCGTATGCAACAGTGCAAATCAAATGAAGCAATCCATTTGAAACAATTTCGTAAAATGATGCTTCAAATTCTTCTGATATTAGAGACCTAAATCAGTTTAGGTCTTATAACCGCCTATTCCCAAAATTAGAAGATCTTCAGAACCCTAATTATTCAACTGAGAAATATGAGCTCAGTTTAAATCCTCCCAGTGATCCTAAACTGTTTCCAATCATCAGAACAAACACCGTTCAATTATAATCCAAATAATTCAATTCAAATCCAAACAGGGTTGGCCCTCAAGATTTCACAAGTGCCCAGATGAAAATTATTCAATTAGGAACCCTCCCCCCCATTTGATCAGAATCTCACTACCAATAGTCCTCATAAGAAAAGTCTTCCTAAATTAGAGATAAAAGCTACAGAATCAAAAGCAGAATCGACAAGTGTGACGACGATTGATGAAAAAGATTAGGCGAGAAACATCAACGTCGAGCAATGTACGAGGAAACTGTACCGTCCAGATGTCGGCAGGGACGAGAATGATGATGGAAACCGAGCAGAACCAGGTGTATCCGACGGTGAGGAGGACGTACCGAGGAATCTCCGGCCCGGCGAAGTACCGGAGCGTGAAGACAACTAACCCTAGGGTTAGTGGCAGCGAGATCAGGTAGAACACCCACATCTCTCTGCGTCAATTCCGAAACAAGAGATCTGCTCTTCGCGGAGAGACAGAACAGGAAGAGGACGACACACCGAGCTCTGTCGGATCGATCGAGGACCCTCGAGATCGCTCGGCTCGTCCGCGTGCCGTTCAGATCAACAGAGGGAGCTCCGTTTTCGGTTCGCACGATTTCGTTTCGGTTCAGGCCGATGTGAGAAAAAGACAACATGCTGTAACAATAATAATAATGGGAATTACAAACTTACACGTATATACAAAAAAAAATATATATTAATTTATCATATGGGCCACTTTGAAATCGGGCCCTTTTAGGTTACTGAGATGGGCCTATAAAGCCCATTTTATGTAATACATGTCGCACGTTTCTGAAACGTGTAAGTTAATACCTTAACTAATCATAATTAAATGCTATTAAACAAAGTCACGTCTTTTTAAAAAGAGAGAGAGAGATCACATGAATTTCGTGAGTTTTCTATGTGCCTGATAAGTTGATACGTAATCCCTCTATCTCATAATAATTAACGTATTAGACAATTTATTATTATTTATAAATAAACATCATCCTATTTTCTATGGATAATTTTTAAAAATAATTTTCAATTTAACCTTTAATTGTAACTACTACAATTCTAATAAACTTTTAATAAAACCGAAGTTTTTATCCTCATATTTATGTATATTAAATAAAGGTGTATAAGATTTTTTAAATTTTTTTTAAAAGTGTGAAAAACTCTAAAAAAACAATTATTAAGAAATGGAGTAATATCCAACATATTAAAGAATCTCTTAATCTTAAATTAATTGATCTCGTGTCGAATTTATTTTCTTTCCATGAACGCAAATGGGGTTCATTAATCTATACATATATATCGTAATATTTGTAAATTTTTCCATGTATCTGATACGTATATGCTATCCACGTCAGACCAAACACATCGATCGACATACAATGATTTAAAAGAGGACATGGTCCTTATCCATAAAAACACACGATTCCAATATGCGACTGAAACCAACATCATTGTTCCCAAATAACATTCAATTATGGTTAGGAAAATTTATTTAAATGGCATCGACCGTCATACGCCCGAAATAACTACGGGGTCCACAGATGTCGAAACGTGTCATCTTCAGCTTGATCCAACGGCGGATTGCTCATTCTCTGTCGATAAAGAGTGATGGGATGATGACACGTGTACAATTCACTCCACCGTCAAAGATTCTCACAGATTTCCAAGGGCGACGAATTTACCAAAATAGCCATTAATAAACTGTTTTTTTTTGTATCTGAATTTTAATTATTCCTCATTTTACAACTCTATAATTAATTAAAATCGTAGATGAATGGAGCGTATTCTTCTGCTCAAATAAGGTATATTTTACGACACATTTTTTTTCACTATCTTTTTATTATTCAATATATATATATATATATATATAAGTAGAGCGAGCGTCTTATTCTTGCGTTGCTTAAAGCTAAAGCTGAAGGAACGACAAGAGGAGAGAGAGAGCGATGTCGTCGTCGGTGATGGAGTTTGCGGTGGAGCAGCAGAGGCGGAGCGACGGCGGTGACGGCGGAGACAGGGCCGATAACGAACGGCTCGATCTGCTTCTCCAGAGCTCCGATCCAACGGCTCAGACGATCTCCTTTCCGACGGAGACTTTCCTCAGAGCGGCCTTGTTGCTCAAGGACCAGGTCTGTCTTCTCTTATACACTGAGTCGCGTAGGATAAGGACGGTGGCACTCTTTCGGCTCACGTTAGCCACCGTCGGCTTATCTCCGGTACTCATGGTCGTGTCTCACTGGTTGACGCAGGTTGTGGAGGCGACGTGGAAAGGCGGTGGGTCGGGCTCGGGTGCTGTGGTCTTGGATCCGACTGCTTATACGGGTCTGCTTGGTACGGCTTTCACCTGCTTGAGGTCGTACGAGGTCACGAGGAACCGCCAGGACTTGCTAACTTGCGCCGAGATCGTCGACACGTGTGCCACCGTCGCACGTGCCTCGACTAGGTGAAAATATCTCAACCACTAGTGCCCTCGTTTGCTAAAAAAAAGTACATGATTTACGAAAGTTGTAGTACCCACCACCAACAACAAAAAAAGTTTGAAGCTTTGAAGTCGGTCATATAATTAGGAACATCATCGTAACATGGATTCTGCCATTATCAGATGCCCTCGAATTCGATGTTGATGAAAAGATTGTAATTTCTTGGGTTTTTTGTTTGGAAAATTGTATATTGAAAAATAAAATATCTGGGGAAATGGACTGTCAATATCAAACAATTAGGCCAAGGTCAAGTGCCATATTTTGCTCCACTTATGAAAGTTGATTAAGCCGAGTATTACCATGGGGCTGGAACCTTCTGTCGTGATACATATATTTATGTTGGATAAGATCTGGGTGATGTATGTGAAAATAGGCACGTGACATTTCTCTGTGGAAGAGGAGGGGTCTACGCGCTTGGTGCTGTTGTGTACAACCACATAGGGGACCATCACAAGCGTGATTTCTTCCTTGGTCTCTTCCTTGAGGTGCGTTTTGTCCCCGCATGCAGTTTCTGCTTAATCTTGTTTGTTTTACTCTCAGAGATTGCGTTTAAACGATCCCTTCGCTGTTCATTTGGTTGCATATGTATGGGTGTATGCATGCATGCATGTATGTATGTGTTTGAGGAAGAGTTTTCTTACATGCAGTTGGCGGAAGAGAGAGCACTTCCGGCAGGACCGGAGGAAGGAGGATTCGGAATGTCGTATGACCTTCTCTACGGAAGAGCTGGTTTTCTTTGGGCTGCTCTTTTCCTAAACCACCATCTCGGCCATGGCTCTGTTCCCGACGATCTCCTCTCCCCGATTGTAGCTGCCGTCGTTGCGGGTGGACGTGTCGGAGCTGCTGATAATGAAGCTTGCCCTCTCTTATACAGGTTTTTGTTTCAATCCAAATCCCTTTTGTCTGAGTAAAATAACATTTGTACTGGTTCGTATCATATAGACACTTCACACCCCATCTGGGTTTTTTCCTATAGGTTCCATGGGACACGTTATTGGGGGGCGGCGAATGGGCTAGCTGGAATATTGCATGTGTTCCTGCATTTCAGGTTGTCTGAAGAAGATGCCAATGATGTGAAGGGGACATTGAGGTACATGATGAGTAACAGGTTCCCACAAAGTGGGAACTACCCTTGTAGTGAAGGCAATCCACGAGACAAGTTGGTTCAATGGGCACATGGTGCAACATGCATGGCCATCACATTGTCTAAAGCTTCTCAGGTATTATTATTCCATATTTCATCATCCATGACATGATGACATCTCTCTGTTCTGACTTCTGACTAAAAAAACCGGATTTGCAGGTGTTTCCGAACGAGAGAGAATTTCGAGATGCAGCCATTGAAGCAGGGGAAGTGGTGTGGAACAATGGCTTGGTGAAGAAGGTAGGGTTAGCGGATGGAGTGGCGGGAAACGCTTACGCCTTCTTATCGCTTTTCCGGTTAACCGGAGATAGAATATACGAGGAGAGAGCGATAGCCTTTGCCAGCTACTTGTGCCACAATGCAAGAGACCTCGTGGAAAATTCCGAGCATGCTTATTCGCTGTTCCGTGGACTGGCGGGAGCCGCGTGCTTGTGGTTCGATTTGGTCCGACCGGAGAGTTCTAGGTTTCCCGGTTATGAGATTTGATTTTGATAACCGGATCGGTTCGGACTTATGGTGGTAGATTTGTGAAAGCTTCTTATTATGGTTTTAATTATGTGATCTTGAATGTTGAGCCCGTGAATGAAGTTGGAGGCCGCCAACGCTTTCAAAGCTCTT